TTGGTCACATATGTACAGACCTATTTCTGGGCTCTCTCTGCCTTGAACGCTCTCAGCCAATAATAATCAACTTCCCTCAGTGCTCAGCTCTCTTCTGCTTGGAAGCCGGTAGGTCCTTGTCTCAAAGATGAATAAAGAGGCCAATCTTAACTGCAGCGGGAAGGCCGGGGAGGGCTGGGGGGCGGGAGGTAGTGGGGTAAGAGATCAACCAAAGGACTTGTATGCATGCATATAAGCATAACCAATGGACATAAGACACTGGGGGGTAGGGGAGGCCAGGGTATTGTCAAGGGGGGGGGGGAAGGAGACATATGTAATACTCTTTGTAATACTTTAAGCAATAAAATAAAATAAGATAAAAAAAAGAAAAAGAGGCCAATCTTGCTTAAGCGCTAGGATTATTCTGTTTGCAGTAACAAGGGTGGAACACCACTGACAGTCTGACCAGGTTTCCACCTTTTGTTGCACGGTGCTGGGAGAGGCTGGCTCGGGGGATGTGGAGGACCTTGACTGTGTGTGATTGTTTTGTGTGTGTGTGTGTGTGTTTAAGGTACTAGTCAATGCACGTCCCAAATTAAACTTAGAGTTATGCTTGAGAGCGTGTCATGCTGGAAGACGAATCTCTCTATTGCTGATGGCGCATCCGGGATTTAGAGGTTATTGCTCAAGAAGGAGCTTACAGCATTACCGACTGACTCTGAGCTGAGTACAGTGTCACTGAGGTCATTTCCTGAACTGCTCAGTCCAGTCTAAGCTTCCAAAACTAAAGGCACCAAAAGGTCCACCAACTTCTCTAGTCCAGTAATATCAGCCAACACTTACCCAGTAGTTATGTGCTAATAAGCACGTTACTTACATCTTATTTTGTTTGCTTAACAATCCTATGAAGAAGGTGCTGTTATTTCCATTTTACAGACAAAGAAAGTGAGGCAGAAAAAGGTGGAGCCACCTGCCCAGGTTTCTCCAGTTAGGAAGTCACAGAGTTGAGATGTGTCCCTGAGTTTAGCTCCGTGTCCTCACCCCACAGGTGCAACGTTCCAGGTACTGAGGGAACCTCAGAAACGCACCCCCATGGACCAGGCACTTGCCCCGGAGACCTGGACTGACACGCTGTGAAACTGCTCACCCGGTTCCTGCCCACCCACCATTCCCTGCATTTCCTTCGGTTCAATACCTCCTACCTCAAAAGGGGCCCAACCTGAAATGACCTCAGGCCATAAATGGGAGTAACTCTGATCAGAAATTCAGAAATACAAAAAATCAGAATGTTTAGGGCAGTAGCCACTAGAGTTAGCACTGTCATCTTAGGACAATTATTTCATTATATTTTTAATATATTTTTATTGATTTCAAAGAGGAAGGGAGAGGGAGAGGGAGATAGAAACATCAATGATGAGAGAGAATCATTGTTCAGTTGCCTCCTGCACACCCCACTCTGGGGATTGAGCCCACAACCCAGGCATGTGCCCTGACTGAGAATCGAACCATGCATGACCTCCTGGTTCAGAGGTTGACACTCAACCGCTGAGCCACACTGGCCCAGCAAATGCCTGGACTGTGGGCTCTATCCCCAGTAGAGGGCGTGCAGGAGGCAGCTGATCAACATTTCTCTCCTACCGATGTGTCTAAGTCTCTCTCCTTCTCCCTTGCTCTTGCTCTAAAATCAATAAAAATATAGTATTTTTTTTAAAAGAAAAGAAAGCAAGCTGCCAGGGGAACAGGCCTAAGGTAGGAAAAATGCTGCTTCTGACAAACCCACAGTAACAACCTGACAGAAATGACATGTAAAGAAAGCAATTC